GGGGGGGGGCACGAGGGGGTCACACACTCACCTCCCGGGCATAGTCCTCAACCTCAGGGGTCTGTGGGATGACCATGGCCTGCAGTGGGGACAGCCAGAGCGGCCTGGGGGGCACCAGGGGTCATGGAGGGGTCCTCAGGGGGCACAGGTGCCCCCAGGATGGGGGTGCCCCAAGGATCAGGATGTCCCAGGGATTAGGGGGGTGTCCTGGGGATTGAGTGTCCTCAAAATTGGAGGGTGCCTGTCCCAAGTGGGGCACCCTGGGACAGGGGTGATGCCGAACATGAGGGGGCCCTGAGGACTGGGGAGGTGTCTCCAGGACAGGGGTCTCCCAGGGATTGGGGGTGCCCTCAGGATTAAGTGCGTGCCAGGGGTTGGGGGCTGTCCTGGGGATTGGGGGCTGTCCCAGGGGTTGAGGGCTGTCCCAGGGGTTGGGGGGTGAGGCAGGAGGTGTTTTTGGGGCTCCCCCTCACCATTTCCCCCCGCAGCTCTCGGCCAGCACAGCCACCATCCGCTCCACAGAGCCCAGCACGGCCCGATGGATCAGCACCGGCCGCGCCGGACCCCCGCTCGGGCTGGGGGGAACAGGGGGTCAGAGGGGCAGGGGGGCCCCACCACCACCCCCAGCCCAATCCTGACACACCCCCACCCCATTTCTGCTCCATCCAGCCTCAGTCCTGACCCGCCACCCAAATCCTGACCCTCCCCGGCCCCAATCCCCACCCCCCTAAATCCCCCATTCTCCCCTTCCTATCCCAATCCTGACACTCCTCAGCCCCAATCCTGCTCCCCCCACCAATCCTGATCCCCTCCAAATCCTCAATTCTTCCCTCTCCATCCCAATTCAGACACTTCTCACCCCGATCCTGCTCCCCCAGCTCCAATCCTGATCTCCACACCCCAACCCTGACTCCCCCCCAGCCCAATCCTGATCCCCTCCACCTCAGTCCTGAAACCAGCCCAATCCTGCCCCCTCCAAATCCCCAGTTCTGCCCTCCCAGCCCAATCCTGCCCCCCCTCCCCACTCCAATACCTGGCATATTCCAGCTCAAATCTCTCTGGCATCTGGAAATCCAGCTGGATGGTGCCACACTGATGGTGCCTCCCCAGCGCATCCCGGATCCGGATATCGATCTGTAGGGAATAAGAGGGATGGGAGGTTCCCAAAGGATCCCGTCTGCCTCCTTTGGGGACCCCCCCTTCCCCAAAATCCCTCACCTTGGGCCCATAAAAGGCGCCGTCTCCCGGACTCAGCTCCCAAGGCTGCCCGAAATTCCGCA